AAAATAAAATAAAATAAAATAAAACACCCTATGGTTACAATGTAAAACTATCTTCCAAATATGGAGATAATAGCAAAGTGCACCTTCCCCTTTTCCTCTTCCCTTTTTCAGTGATTAAATTCAGGACCACGTCCAGCTCCATGAGGTGACTTTAACAAAAGCCACTTCCAGAAGGCATTTCTTCCTAATGTCTATCAAAATAATATTTATATAGGAACCACCTTCTTAATTTTAACATAAGTTCAACATTAGAACTTGTCCTTTAATACCCAGAAATACTGACTAAAATATACATATAAAGCAATGACTACAATGTGAACTCAATGGGTGAAGAACACTTCTTCTCTGTGTGCTCCAAACCCACAGGTGGCCAGCCTGCTCTCCAAAATGCTAACTTTAACAAGTCCATTCCCAAAATGCAACCATACCTTGGAGGTAACAAAAAAAAAAAAAAAAAAAAAAAAAAAAAAAAAAACCTGAGGGAGATCAGCTTAGCTCTTGACTTTTACATGTTTGTGAAGAATTATTTCCATATTGCTCAATCCTTTCGGTAGACAAATGATTGTTTAAAATCAAACTGTTACATAAGAGAGACAACTCATTGCTAGAAACATAAGTTTGATTCTAGTAGTTTCTAATTCTGGCCAATCATTTAATGTATTGATCAGCACAACTGCTGAAATATTTCCTTCTATGTCCATAATCACTAAGTTATCTATTACTTACTTTCCCATCTGCAGATATAGTCAGTCAGTCATCATTTTCCTTGACTTATTGAACACACTAGAATTAGAAATGCCATTTTTAGTTTCTTTTTTGGCCTTGTTCTAGAATGATTATTATTCTCTTCATCTTCAAATTCTTCTCTGGCTCCACTGGTTTTGTCCTCTGCAATCCATGTGGTCTAGGATCTATCCACTCTTTATGCTCCTCATTGTCCTTTGTTTTTCTCTCTTCTGTTTCTTAAAATAATTTTATTGAGAAACAAATAGCAATGAGACAGTTTCAAAACCAATTACTAGCACAGTTTCAATAATTAATACATTGCATATTGTTGTCTTAGTGGTTATTCATTGTACAAGATGCAGACATGATGTCCTGTCCACAAACACTATTAGAACAAATCTCTCTATTCATTGAGTTAAAAAAATTCAGCAGTATATCTACCCTAACTATTTTGAATATACAAATACAAAATGGTTGATCATTTGTATCCCCCTTTTTTGTTTAGTTTTGTCTGAGAAGGGCATTCCATTGTCATTTAAATATTGTAGGTGCATGAATTCAGCAAAAAATTCCAATATAGTCCAGTAGTCTCTTCCTAAAGATAATTATTCATCCAGATGGTTTTTCATTAGTCTGCATTTTCCTCCTTACATCTGTCTTTTTGTTATGAATTCTAAATCTATTGCTCAGGCCCATGTCATGTTCTAAGTTTCAGAAACATTTTTTATCATTCCAATATAAGCTGAAAGTTTTTCTCTTCCATGTTTATCTCAGTATCTCAAAACAAACATATATATGCAATGAATCTTTAAAGATCCTGTGCCAAGTGTTAGAGATTATAAACTTGGAACGTGTAATCCAAGTGTGTGGGGTGCATCAACAGGAGATGGACAAGTGCACGCATGAATGCCAGGAAGTGTTTCAAGTTCTACCACAGGCTGTTACACCTTCCCCCCAATTTCACTTTGTATTTCAGTTCTGCATTAATTCCGGTGAAAAACTTGCTTATCAACTTTATTTTTTCTCTTTCCATTCTACATTAATCATACAAAACAATTCTTATCTATTTTCTGCTCATAGTCTTCAGTGCTTCTTTATTGTTGGTGGATCAAGGGTAAATTCTTCATCTTTACTCTCAAGACTTATTTCATACTTTGGCTTTCTTTCCTACCTGACCTACACTGCCAATGCTGTTCAGCAACAGCCTGCACTCCCGCTGATCTGAATCTTTTCTTTGGCATAGCTTAAAGCATTTTATTATTATATCTTTTCTCCAAATTTTTTCTTGCCTTGCTGATTACTTGAGATCATACTATCTTTAGTAACAAAAAGATGATGTGACTCAAGATCAAGCAAACAAACAATGAATCTCATTAGTCACATTAATAATCCCATCTGGATATTTTTGATTGGAAGATAATTTTTGTTCAGCATCATGTTTATGATTCAAGTATCTCTTTTCTTATGAATCTGTATTTCCTGGGGCCTTGTACCATCTCTATCTGGCAAGCAGATAGATAAAGAGCGTGAAGGGGTGTCCCTGGAGATACTTTGATGGATCAGGACTTGAAGTGACACTTAGCTTGCATTCCCATCTCAAAGGCTAAAGCTCATTGCTGTTGCATGCCTAACTGTAAGAGTCAGGGAAAGCTGTCCAATGGGAAGTTCAGGTAGAGAGAAGAGAAGTGGTTCTGTGAACACTTGCAGTCTCTGCCACTGCCCTCTCTGTTACTTCCCAGTGCAGAGAATCTATGAATTAATCAGAGTACAACCAGATTGTTTCACTGAAAAATTTTTTCCATAATTTTATTGAGAAACAAATAGCAATGAGACAGTTTCAAATCAAATTGGTAGGGCAGTTTCAATAATTAACACACTGCATACATTCTTCCTAGTGGTTAATTGCTGTACAAGATGCAGACATGATATCCTATTTACAAACACCATTAGAACAAATCCCTCTATTCATTAAGAGAAGTAACTATATGTCTATCCTAACCACTTTGAATACACAGATACAAAATGGACATTCATCTGTATACCCTTTTTTTGTTAAGTTCCATTATCTGAATATTATAGGTGTGTGAACTCAGCAAAATATTCTAAAAGAGTCCAGTAGCCCATAATAGCATTGGGTCTTCCCCTTGACTGGTAATGTCAGAAATTGTTTACCTGAGTTCTCTATAGCTCAACATAACAGCATGGCTTTACTTCTTATATTTCGTTTTTATACTTTCCTGCTGGATGGTTAAGACCAAGGTAAAGCAGGACCTATGCAACAAGAGTTGTAGCTTTTGGGTCTGAGAAGGTCAGTGAAATCCCCTTAGGATTTATCCTGAGATCCTGTACCTCAGATTGTTTGTCAGTATCAGCCATGTGGATGAGTCACGGCCATTGCTTGGCCAATGTGCTCTCTGTGAAAGCCTGAGAGAATGTTTTCTCTCCATGTGACTCTCCTTAGGCACACTCTACATCACCAATCACTGAAAAATATTTTCTAACCACTTCAAATGGGAATGAGAATTTCCCTCTCCAAATTTTCACAATACCTTTTTTCCTCTTATAGTTCATTCACTGTATTACAAATACATTTTTCTTTTAGGCTAGGCATGTCTTTTATTTCCTAATGAAGTTTGAAGATCCTTAAAGATAGGAACTATGACACATAATTTGGGGGGTGTTCGTAACTTATTAGAAGACCTTTATGTATAATACTTATTGGTAGCGTAGGGAATACAGAAATTAATGTAAAATGTATCTCTGGATTCAAGTTGTCATTTTGGAGTTTGATCCAGAGGCATGGCCATAAATAATGTTTTTATTCCTTTAAGACTACGGAGGAATACATTCCAATGCTCAAGCACTCCATGAAATTTCATTTTTTTAAATTTTATTTTATTTATTTATTTACCTTTTTGTATTTTAGGGAAGGGTCTACAGGGTGTTCAGGGTCTCATTACTAGATCAGACTTGTTGTGATCTGCCTGTTTACAACCTCCCAAGAGCTGGGATTACAGGCACACACCACCACGCCCAGTCTCAATTGCCATCTCAGCTTGCCCCAGGGTCGGGGCCAGCATGGCAGGCCTGGGGATCAAACCCCCAGCCCCTGTGCCTGCTTGCAGGTGCTCTAATCTGCTGAGCTATTTAGCCAGCCCTGAAATTTCATTCATTGCCAGCATGATGTTACCTAACTATGTGGAAATACTAGATATTGCTCCTTACTTACCTTCTTATACTGGGGGCCAAATGCATGTCAATCAGAAAAGTTCCTCCCTACTAAGACAAACAGGCTTATGCAATTGTAGTAATGATTAAAAATGTCCCATGTCATGTTACTTTGCCAACTGAGTCACACCTTTAAGACTAAAATTCTTTGAGGAACTTTGTGACATCAGAGTGATAAAAGTCTGTCTTGCTGCACAATGCTCCACAAATCCAGGAGCAGTTACACACACATCCCACCCTGAGATCTAACAAAGAGGAACCCAGTTTAAACTGAAACAAATAAACAAACAAAAATAGATTTAAACTTCTGCAAAAAGAATTTTGGTCAAATACATAAGAGACTTTATTAAAAATGCATTAACCTTGAAACATCTCGTTACATTCTTTTTTACCCCTGGAGAATATTAGATAAGTTGCAGTAGTGCAGATGCTAGAAATTCAAAGGCTACAATAAATAACTTCTAGGAAGGTCTTCTCCGTCTTGCATAGCCCTCTTCTAAAGCTTGAGCTACTTTTGATTTCCTTTCTAAAACGGCTCAGAAAGCAGCCTGTACAAGGAGAGTAAAACGGCTCTTTATTTCCTTTTTCTCTGACTACTCCGAGATCTGTTTTTGTCACAACTTCATAAGTATTTCAATTACTTGTTCCCGCAACAATCCTGCGGAGACACTCTGCCCCCACCCTTCTTTTTATAGATGAAGATCTTGAGGTTAAGTGATTTTCTCAGGGTTACAAAGAGACATAGCCGCAAAGAGCGAATGAGAACGAGCAGCTCAACCTTCTGGTGGATGAATAGATTGAGTTTCCGAGCAGCTTTGCTATTATATTGCAAAAGCGCCATTCGGATGACTGGCTGAATGTGTCAGGCCTGGGAATGAAAGGAAGGTTGCAAGGAGAGCATTTTCCATCTTATTAATGACTTAGGCAATTGTCTAAAGTTGGAAAGAAAGGCCCTTTAGAGAAAGAGCCCTTTTAAAAGAGTACAAACAGCAGGACGCTCAATTTGGGACCCTCCCTCAATGAAACGGTTGTCTGCCTCCTTACAGACAGCGCTGCTGAAGAAGCCGGGCTCCAGATTGGAGATGTGGTGCTGTCGGTCAACGGCACCGAGGTCACCAGTGTGGAGCACGCCGAAGCTGTGCACCTTGCAAGGAAAGGTAGGTGCACCGGCTGCAGCGCCCGAAGCAGCAGGAAGAAGCAGAGAACTGCAGCTGCGAATTCAAATATGAGGAGAAGCCAAATAAATGTCCTTCTTTCTGAGGGGGACCCCTTAATGTTTTGTCATTCGTGTGGTCCAGTGATAGGAGTTATACCAAATGTTTGCCCCAAGTGTGTTTTGTGCCAACGATAAGCCACAAAAGCAAAACCAGAAAATGGCAATAAGCAGACATACTCTATCCAAAGTATTTTCTTAAACTTCTTTTGCAAAAAGATAATTCTCATTGCAAGAATTCTTTTAGTATTTTATTTCCTTTCCAAAGTGTTTCCTTCTTCATTTTTCTTTCTTTCTTTCCAGGATTTTTAGAGTTAACAGGTACAGTGTTTAATGTATACAGAGAATAGAGAGAGGGGGAGGAAAGAAAGGAAGGAAGGGAGGAAGGGAGGGAGAGAAAAAGAAAGTCTAAAGCATCTCTAGATTCCCCTAGAGCCTTCTGAGGCCTACCAGTGAAGCTGTTCTGACACAAATGGACATACTGTAGCACGAGGAATCATGCACACCCTCATGCCCTCACATTCCTTCACATTAAACTTTGTGCAAAGGTTAATAGCATCTTCCCTTCTGCAAAACAATTTACATTTTTTAGCACTATGTACAAATCTTACAAATCCTTATCTCCCCTCAGACCTACAGCTATGCAGGTGGTAAATTCTGTTTTCCATCGTGGGATTCTTTGATGTGTATTTTCTCTCCGGCTTCCTGAAGGCTGCAGGCATAGTGCAGTGCCTCGGACGCATCTTAGCAGACAGGGAGCTAATAAAGATGCATGTATTGAGACAGGCCACATGGCAAGCGGTCAGGTAGACTGCTGAGCAGTAAGCTCCTCTTGCCCTTTCTCATGCTTAGGGGTTAGAAATAACCAAGAGTTTTCTAGTGCAGGCTAACATGCTCTAGCGAAAGTCACTAACCATTGTGTGTCCTATAAAATATTCTGAATCTGTGAATAGAATTTAGCTTCTCTGTAGGGTTTGATCTAGATGCAGCAGGAATTCAAGGATATTGTCAGCATGTCCAACAACTACCTAAAAGTCTTACAAAGTTATTTATCCGTTCTATAACATAGCTGAGAAATAGAAATAATATGATACCTATTTTACTACAGGACCAATAATATCCCACATAATGTTATCCCACACATGTGAATTTAACTGTTGCTATGTTCTTTGTCACAAGTAATTACTTTGGGGGATAAATTAACCTTTAGTAAAATGTTATTCTTCATTCTTTTCCCCCAAGAGTCTGAATGTTATGTATAGCACTGAACATTTCACTTCACTGTATCAGTTAATGGAAGGCAGAAAACATCTCTGAGGCTTAAATGAAAGAGTTTCTGGCTTCTGACAAAATTGTGAATTACCATCAATAGTGAGAGAAAAGCTAAATCCAGCAGTGTAGCTTATGCGACTCCAGAGCATGACTTAGTGCGATGGGTTTATCAGCTAGTATAGGCTGGGCTCACCAGTCTTTGCTTGCTGCCTTTACTCTTCCCCACAAATCCCTGTGACCCTTTGGCAATGCCTGTGCCTTTGCTGATCCCCAAATTTAACATCAGAGATAGCCCAGAAGTGAATATGTGTCTAGATCTGAGATATCAAAGTCACAACAGGAAGAGATTTGGAGAAAAACAAGATCATTTCATGCTTGTGTTTGTTGGGAGAGATGGGTATTGCATTCAGTGAGCATTTCATGTTAAGGAATTGGCTAAAGAAAACCACCCTGCACATTATTGTTCTGCCAGTGGCCCTGGGTGTCCAGTGCTCCAATCCAAAACTACTGAAAGCCTAAAAGCTACCAGCACCCAATATGGGACTATTTGCAAGATGAGCCCAGCTAGGTAAGGAAATTGGCCATTCCTTGTTCAGGTATAGTCTGTGCATTCCTTTCCTACATGTTTACAGTAAAGCTTTTCATTGAGAATGACTAGAACCTAGAAAGAGTCCATGAAAATTCAGGGTCACCCTGTGAGCAAATAAAAGAGATAAATATCCAGTAGCTAGTCAAGACAGCAAGCACACAGGCTTACTGGCCTGCGGAATACCCTGTCTCCACCATTCTGTCCTCAGCAGCAGGGGCACCAGCTAGGCTCTGGGCTTTCAGCTTCCTCCCAGTGCGTGTGTTCTGGGAGATTTTCATACCCCTAGAGCAGCAGTAGTTATCTATAAAAATATTAAGACATTTGAGAACCAAAATATCAATAAAAGGACAATATACTGCATGATCCATAACAAATAAAATAAAATACATGAGCAGATCTGAAATAGCAAGCATCTAAAGTAAGATCAATAAATATCATAAAAATGGTTATGGAGGACATTTATACGATATTAGATATGAAAAAAGCAGAAAAGCAGATGTGTAGAAGAGGCAGTTGCTAGGATTCCGCCTAAAGAAGATAATTGTTCAAGTAAAAAATGCAGCTGGTGAGCTGAGCAACAAGAAAACACAGCAGAACAACTTTTCAAAAGTCTAAACTGTTTAGTATAAAATCTCACAGAAAATATCAAGAAACTATCCAAAGTATTTAATATAAAATTCACAGAAAATATCAGGGAAAAACTATCCTACAAGAAGAAAGGAAACATTTCAGAACAGCTAAGGAATTCAGTGGATAGAATTAGAATTAACATGATAGTATTTCAATCAAGAGTACCTGAAAGAAAAAAAAAAGATATAGGAGGGAAAATACTTTAAAGAAAAAAAAAAAAACTTTTCCAAAATTGGCAAAAGAAGTTTCCATGCTTATAGATTGCCAAACAGATAGAGGTAGAGCCTTCATTGTGGCATAATTTTAGCGAATCTTAAAAAATCACCTAGTTAGTTTGGGCATGATAGTGTGCTTCTTTAATCCCAGCATTTGGGAAGGTGAGGCAGGAAGACTGCTCCAAGTTTAAGTTCAGCCTGAGCACTACAAAGTGAGTTCAAGCCCAGCCTGAACTGCATAATGAAGCCCTGTCTAAAAGAAGAAAGAGAGAGAGAGAGAGAGAGAGAGAGAGAGAGAGAGAGAGAGAGAGAGAAAGGAGGAGAGAGAGAGAGAGAGAGAAAGGAGGGAAAAAGACCTAGATAAAAAGAAATAGTTTAAGTTTGCAGGCAGAAAAATCATATCACGTCTAGTGAAACTGAAATCCAATTGACATGAGACTTTCAATATCAACAAGTGCTGGTAGTGTATAATAGAGTAATATTTTCAAAAAGTCAAAAGGAATTAGTATCATACTTCAAGTATAGCAGTCAGCTGAAGTACTAATTAAAATCTAAGTGCAAAACAGACCTACCCTGGCAATCATGGCTTCAGAAAAGACTGACTCAAGTATTCACAGATAAAACACCATGCTATGAAGAAATATAAATCTAAATTTTTATGTCAATCATGGGAAAAGCATGAAGAAATAATTTTAATTTCTTAGCAGTTAGCTCAGTGGATTAAAGCACCTACTTAGGTAGATACAGGGAATGGCATCCAATCCCCAGGCTGCCATGCTGGCCCTGCCCCAGGGCTTGCTGAGAGGGGAATGAGACTGGGCATGGTGGTGCATCCCTGTAATCCCAGCACTTGGGTGACTGAAAAACAGGAGGTTGACTAGGAGTCCAATCTGTGTAGTGAGACTCGGTAGACCTAGTACTAAATATAAGCAGAAAGAAAGGAAGGGAAGGGAAGGGAAGGGAAGGGAAGGGAAGGGAAGG